TTGTTTTATCTCACCAGAGGTTTGTTGTACAGAGATTTCCGTTTTATTAACTTCTTGTTTTATTTTCTCTTTCATCTTTACAAGTCTTTCAGCCATTCTTTTTTTAAAAAAACTGTCAGTTTGGTATCATGTGCTTCCAATTAAATATTTCTTATTTGCTCAATGTCTGCAGAAATTCTGGAGTAATTCCTTTCTGCACGTTGCTCTAACAATCCCATCCTCCCTCCATTCTTGTAGTTTTTCAAGTAGTTGCCATTATGAAACAATCTCACTCAAGTGAAAAGGTAAAAGCAATATTTTCCCCTTTTCTTTTTTCTTCCATTTTATTTTGGGGAGGTCTTCTTTTGCCTTTAATACTTTTTATCTTTAAGGGTACTTCAAAGTTGTAAATAATATCACAATCCATATCTTCATGGGTACAATCAACACCATATTCTGGGTTATATTATGGTTTTGTTTTTGTATAATTTGTTTTGTATACATCTGCACTCCTTGACAATAAACAAAAAGCATTTCCATGAAGACCAGGTTCTTTTTCCTAATTTAATTTACTACAGTTTGGTCTAGAGCAGTTTCACTAAAAACAGTCATTCAAAATAAATGTCCCCTTTAACTGTCAAAATCTTTCTTACTTTAATTCCTTTTTATGCTTTTTGTCAGAAAACTGTAAGTCATTTGTTTTTTCATTTATTGCTTTCTAATCCAAAAAAATGCTAACTCATGAAGTGAAATCTTTTCCTGTCATTCAAAAAATTCATCTACAGTTATAAATTCATGAACTCTAAAGGGATTAAGAAACGAGGATAATGAAGTTCACCTGAACTTTATGTCCACATATGCTACACTAAGGTTGTGAGCTTAAATGGTTAGCTTAGAACAGCTGCTCAGTTTGTGAGCTGACTGCAAAAACTTCCCATTTCTGCAGTTTACTCATATGAGGAGCAACTGTCCAGAGTACTAGTGGGCAATCTCACAATCTCTCCTTTATCCAGAGAGACTTTATCAGCCACCATTCAACCTCTGGCTGCTGTTCATCTCACAATGTTATCCCACTTCTTCAGAAAACTCTAGAGTTTATATATAGACATACGTAGAATCATAAGGCTGGAAGGGACCTTGAAGATCTTTTATTCCAACTCCCTGTTCAAGATGGAAGACTTTATTGCATCCCAGGTATATTACCATCCAATCTTTTCTTTAAAATCTCCAGTGATGGAGCACCCACAACCTCTGGAGGCAAGCTGTTCCATTGATAATTGTTCTTAATATGAGAAAAAATCTAATTATTTCTAGATTGGATCTCTCTTTTACAAGCTTCTACCCCTTATTTCTTGTACTGCAGTTTGGTTCTTTGGAAAATAAGTCAATGTGAAAACCTCTCAAGTACTGGAAGATACCTATCATGTCCTTCCTAATCCTTGTCTTCTTATTTTCTCCAGTTCACTACGATCCACACTGGAAGCCAGGAGCCAGTATTTTCTGTTATTTCTGTGCATTGCAAAATTGACATTAATCAATACAGATTAATTCTGTTACTGTATTTCAGCTTCACATTATGGCAAAAATCATTTCCCACATGTACTTGGGGAAAGACAGTTCTTCACTATCTCACCTCCACACAGAAATACACATAGCATTACTTATTCAGTGTTCTACAATCTCTCTCTTTCTCTCTCCCTCCCTCCCTCTCCCCCCCCGTCTCCATCATGATGTTTTCTTTTATAGTCTATCCCAGTGGTCCCCAACCCCCGGTCCGTGGACCGGTGCCGGGCTGTGGAGTACCTGGCACCGGGCCGCGCAGCGGCCGGGGGCCATGATCGCTGCAGCACAAAGGCTCCTGGGCCGTCGCGAACAATGCCCCCCACCCCTGCGCGCGCTCAGCGGGCCACGGTAAAATTATCAAAGGCTGACTGGTCCGCGGCGATAAAAAGGTTGGGGACCACTGGTCTATCCTATCCAGTTGTCAAAATCACAAATCATTTTTTCTTGTTTTAGACACAGAGTTTCCAGTCTGTAATAAATGTACAGACTGGAAACGGTTGTTTGCTTTGCTCTGATCAAACATGTCAATTGGACCATCTCAGAAAGTTCTATCATTTTCACCAACTACTCTTCCATTGTAGTATTGCAGATCTTTCAATCTTCATGTGTACAATAAGCTCCCTGCAGTTATCATATATAAAAGCAAAGTTCCATTCTTTCCAACTATTTATCCAGTAGTCCCAGAAGGAAAAGTTCCGGTTCCATTTTTTTTTTTTTTTTTTTTTTTAGCAGAACTTTTTTTATTTTTCTTTAAA